GAGGACAGGATACAAGAGTGAGAGGACAGGAAACAAGAGTGAGAGGGGACAGAAAACAAGAGTGAGAGGACAGAAAACAAGAGCGAGAGGACAGGATACAAGAGTGAGAGGACAGGAAACAAGAGTGAGAGGACAGGAAACAAGAGTGAGGGGACAGAAAACGAGAGTGAGAGGGGACAGGACACAAGATTGAGAGGAGACAGGAAACAAGAGTGAGAGGACTGGATACAAGATCGAGAGGGGACATGATACAAGAATGAGAGAGCATAGGAACAAGAGTGAGAGGGGGCAGGAAACAAGAGTGAGAGGGGACAGGAAACAAGAGTGAGAGGGGACAGGATACAAGAGTGAGAGGATAGGATACAAGAGTGAGAGAGGACAGGTTACAAGAATGAGAGGGGATAGGAAACCAGAGTGAGAGGGGACAGGAAACAAGAGTGAGAGGACAGGAAACAAGAGTGAGAGGACAGGAAACAAGAGTGAGAGGACAGGAAACAAGAGTGAGAAGGGACAGGAAATGAGAGAATTTTTACAATCATCCATGCAAACAATGTAATTTTAGTTGTTAAACATTATATGTATGTAGGTCAGTAAAAAATTAGCATTAAAATAAAAAAATTAAAATAAAGCTATGAAGAGGTTGTGTGATGAACAGAGGATGAGCATCTTCATCTTAACAGATGACAGATAATGAAGGAATTTAAATGAAGTGAAGCTCTCTGAATATCATGACTGTAATCAAGTCAAAACATTTCAGCTTAAGCTAACCTTTAGCTTTGTTTTTCTTAAAAGTTTAACACTTTTCTATATTTAATCCACATTTTTTGCTTATTTTACAAAAAGGAAAATATATTATACAGCCTTTCTCTGCAAATACGAGCCTAGCTCTTTGCCTGAATAAGATAGTGAATTAAAATGACTTTACTTGTCTTAGTTGCATTAAAACATTTCAATTTTTGATTCCAGACATGAGCAAAGAAGTTCACCTAAATAAAAATAAAAACAATATCGTAATGTTTCCTCGGTAAGTCTTTCTAAGCCTGTTTTCCAGTTTCTGTGTGTAAAAATTAGCAGAGATAATCTCAGACAGGGGTTCTCCAGGGTTCTACCTGCAGCTGTTGCTTCACTCGTTCGTTCTTCTGCGTCTCTGTGACTCGCTCCTCCTCACTGCGGTCGGTGCTCAGGCCGTCGCTCAGGAGCTCGGCACTTGCCTCGGCGTTCGTTTCGTCCTGCTCGTCATGTTCAGGTGCTGGTGGGGACGTCATGGCCGTCTTCAGCTCTTCCCTGGTCTTCTCCAGGTCTTCCTGTGCTGACAGAGCCTGAGAGGAAAGTGCAATCAACACTCAGACAGAAAGGTTCCTGACAGATGCACACACAGTTCTATGGGCTGCCGTTTGTAAAGTTACACAGCCAAAAATTACCACCAATATTTGTGTTTTATTTAACCTTTTATAAGAAAAAAAAGAACAGATTTATTTTTCAAAGTCAGTTTTTCACCATATGATTCATACATTTATAAATATCATAGTTTATAAACTAAATATTTAACTTGTGACTTAAATATTTAGTTTTGAGCTAAATATTTAGGTTGCAACTTAAACATTTAGCTAGCAAGTTAAATATTTAGTTATCCGCCAAAATAGTTAACTTAAATATTTAGCTAGCTACCTAAATATTTAACTTAAATATTTAGGTGGATAGCTAAATATTGAAGTTGCAACCTAAATATTTAGCTCAAAACTAAATATTTAAGTCACAAGTTAAATATTTAGTTTATAAATATTCAGGTAGTTAGCTAAATATTTAACTTGCTACCTAATATTTAAGTTGCAACCTAAATATTTAGCTCAAAACTAATTATTTAAGTCACAAGTTAAATATTTAGTTTATAAACTATGACATTTATAAATG